ATCCTTAAATTGCTTTACACAGGCAATTCTAGGTGATGGTATACTGTACCAAATTACTTACATTTTAAAAAAGAAATATAGAATTGCATAATTCCTTTTGTCCTTTTTAAACTGTGTTTTAAAAAAGTCTGTAGGAAGGTTTTAGTGTGAAATGGTGTTATTGAAAATGAACTTAGTACACAGAGGATATTGAATGAAACAAATCTTTCCAGGTAGACGGGACAGAAATCAAGTATTAGAAGTGCAACAAAGATGAAGTTGAAGTGCTTAGCCTGAGTGGTAGGATAAACTTTCTAAAGATTGTGCCTATCTACTATATGGATACATTCTATAAAACCAATAATCTAGAAATTATTAGCATTTTTATCACGGGATATGTTTAAAGGGCAGTAGCATTTTGGGGGCAGATTTATATGGTGGATACTAATTTATCCCATATTATTGAAGTAGAGAAACTATGAATTAGAAGAATGCAAACTGCATAGAAGTTGGGAATCCCACTAGCAGATATAGTCCATAATAATAATAGATAGAGAAACATCTATACATGGTCAAGTTATAGCTTGTGCTTGTGATACATATTAGAGTCAGATGATCTTGCAGTCATTGTGAGACAATTCAGTAAACAGTGTTTAAAGAAAATTTGTATCTTTAAGAAGACCTATTTAAGCCAAGGAATAATCTTAGGCTAGAACACTTGCAAATAAAGTTCAATGAGATAAAATGTGTGAAAATTTTTATACAATAGAATATTAAATTGCAGGGCATTATTATATAATAGCACCCATTACATTCAAAACCTGTTTTTAATTTATTGCTTATTAATTTTACAGATATTTTCAATAAGTGAAAATCTCTCATTGTAAAACACAAAACAAATAAAGGCAATATAATTACATAATTATTACACAAAATATACTCTATTGAGTATAGAGAAGAGGCAATATCCCTTACATCAGGAATAGGGAACATCCGACCACAGGCTACATAGGACCAGTGAAATCATTTGGTCTGGCCCTACCAAGGCATTAGGGGTGAGTTAATTAAATGTTTGACCAAATTTAGCAGGCTAATTTTTAATTTGATAATTTGTATGGCTCAAAAATGATGTTATAATATCCAAATGGCCATTGGCAGAAAAAAGGTACCCCACCCCTGCCTCACATGATAAGTTAATAGAAAAATCTGATTAAAAAAAAAAAAAACACCCCACCATGTTATCATCTAAAACAAATCTAATTAGATCAACTGTTTAGAGGTTTAATTTTTTTTATCATTGCAGTACATTTTGCTTTGAAAAAAGAAATATGAATTTTCTCCAAACTTAAGATTTAGTCTTGTATGAGGGATATTGGAATTTAGAATAACAACATCTTATGATTTATGGCCCACTGACAAAGTAAAGGTCAACATCTGTAATTAAAGGATATAAACACTGATTTAAATTATATTGGATCATCTTTCTTGTTAATAACTATTCTATTTAAAGAACTAAATTAAGCTTCAAGAAATGACTGATGCATTCTATTTTATGTTTTGGTGAAAGTAGGTTACTGAAGTGGTTATCTATTTATTCAAGCTGACTTCTAATGTTACTCTGGGGCATTTATCACAATTTCATAAAAATGTGGATAGCTTTATCTCTTTTAAGAATTTCAGTCATTCTTTTGTCATTTCAAATTTATTAGTAATCCATGAAGAATATGATTCATTAAGTGTGGAAATCTTTGGTAAATTTATATTCATCTTTTTTTATTATTTATAAGGATTCCAGAAAGCAAGAAACCTAATTTTAGCTTTTGCTTTGTAACAAATGAAAATCTTTCAAAAGCATATGGACTATATCACACATATAAAAACTAAATGAATAGTTCCCTTTGGATATATGCAGCAAGTAAATAAGTATCAACTATGTGCTCAGCTCTCGTTTTAGGAAGTAGGAAATTACCAGGGAAGATACTAGACAGAAATCCTGGTCTTCATGGAGCAAAACAAAAGATAAGTGAAATGGATAATATAGTGGATGGTTACAAGAGCCATGGATGAAAATAAAGCAAGGAAAGTGGATAAGGGAGTGTTAGGGCCTAGCAATTTCAAACAGGGTGCCAGCAAAGGCTTAAAGAACTGATGTCCCTTCAATAAAGACCTAATGGAGATGACAGTATTAGTCATTAGCATATCGGTGGAAAGAGTATTCCAAGCAAAGGAACAATGAACCAATGCTTAGGACCCATAGTTGGGAGGATGCCCAGCATGTTTAAGGAGCAGCAGGGAAGCAAAGTGGAACTAAAGAGGAATAGAGCAAACTGAGGGAGGCTGTTACCATAATCCAGTCTAGCAGTGATGGTGGCTCACAGAATTGTGTAGCAGTGAAGAGGGTGAGAAATCAGGTTTGCTAGCAGTTTAGATATGGGATATGAAAGAAAGGGGGATCAGGATTTTCGACTTGCTAAATGGAAGATAGGATTTTCACTAACTGAGATAAGGAAATACTGCAGGAGGAGTAGAATTAGAAGGCCGGGGGGGGGGGGGGGGGAGGAGAGGGGAGATTGAAGCTATGATTTGGACGTGTTTGAGATACCTGTTAGTCATTCAAGTGGAGATGTCAAGTTGGATATGACATTTTGTGGAGAGGTTTGACAGGAGGAATAAGTATAAGCAAATGTGATATGTTGCTGAACTGTGCCAGGAATTGAGAGTAAGAATAAAATCAGTCAAGGGAAGGCTTCAGGAAGAAGATACATTTTAAGCTGACCTTTAATTATTAGAAAGGAAAGAAAAGAGGATTCTAGTTAGAAAAAAAAAAAGTCCTTACATCTTATAGTATCGTCTAGAAATCTGAATGCTTTACTACCTTGTCTTATTTTGTACTGGAAACTTTTATCGTACATTATATAGTACTAGAGGCCCGGTGCACAAAATTCGTACATGTTGTGTCCCTCAACCCAGCCTGCACCCTCCCCAATCTGGGACCCCTCGAGGGATATCTGATTGCATATTTAGGCCCGATTCTATTGATCCTAAACAGGCAGTCGGACATCCCTCTCACAACCCAGGACTGCTGGCTCCCAACTGCTCACCTGCCTGCCTTCCTGATTGACCCCAACTGCTTCTGCCTGCCAGCCTGATCACCCCCTATCCACTCCCCTGCCAGCCTGATTGATGCCTAACTGCTCCCCTGCCAGCCTGGTCACCCCTAACTGCCCTCCCCTGCACGCCTGGTCACCCCCTACTGCTCTCTCCTGCAAGCCCAGGCCTCACCTCCCCCCCCAAATTGCCCATCCCTGCAGGCTTGTTCACCCTAACTGCCCTCCCCTGCAGGCCTCATCACCCCCAACTGTCCTCCCTTGCAGGCCTGGTCCCCCTGCCTCCAACTGCTCTCCCCTGCTGGCCTGATCACCCACAATTGCCCTCTCTTGCAAGCCTGATTCCTCCCAACTGCCCTCCCCTGCTGGCCATCTTGTGGCAGCCATCTAGTGTCCACATGGGGGCAGCCATCTTTGATCACTTGGAGGCAGCCATCTTTTGTGTTGGACTGATGATCAATTTGCATATTACTCTTTTTTTTTCTAGATAAAAATTTTGCCATTTTAACCATTTTTAAGTGTACAGTTCAGTAGAATAAATCTCATTCTGAAACTGAGTTTTGTGTATAAAAATATTCTTTCTTTTCAAAAAATCAACTTTGTTGCTTAGGGCCAAAAGGAATTTAGAGCTGATTGGGCTTTACTTCTGAGAGCATGGAGCATTCTGCAAGCCTTGAAATTCTAAATGAATATCACTTTTGTTTGAAAGATTTAGAGAAGCAGGAAAACAAATGAAAACTAGTGCCTGACTTCTGAAACAGATGTTTCTTTTCTTGAAAATTGACTTTCCATATATATATATATATATATATTATTGATTTTGTACAGAGAGGAAGGGAGAGAGATAGAGAGTTAGAAACATCGATGAGAGAGAGTCATCGATCAGCTGCCTCTTGCACACCCCCTACTGGAGATATGCCCGCTACCAAGGTACATGCCCTTGACCGTATTCGAATCCGGGACCCTTCAGTCCCCAAGCCGATGCTCTATCCATTGAGCCAAACTAGTCTCGGCTGACTTTCCATTTTTTTTAAAAAAAATTCTTTATTGATTAAGGTATTACATATGTGTCCTTATTCCTCCCCCATTGTCCCACCACCTCCCCACTCATGTCCTCACCCCCTGGTGTCCATTGGTTAGACTTATATACATGCATACAAGTCCTTTGGTTGATCTCTTACCACCCTCCCCCACCTTCCCTCTGAGGTTTTATGGTCTGATTGATACTTCTCTGTCTCTGGTTCTGTTTTTGTTCCGTTTATGTTGTTCATTATATTCCACAAATGAGTAAGATGATATTTATCTTTCTCTGATTGGCTTATTTAGCTATGTTCATAGCAGCACAATTTACCATAGTTAAGATTTGGAAACAGCTTAAGTGCCCATCAGTAGATTAGTGGATTAAAAAACTGCGGTATATCTACACAATGGTAAAAAAAAAAAAAAAAAAGAAAGAAAGAAAGAAAGAAAGAAAGAAAGAAAGAAAGAAAGAAAGAAAGGAAGGAAGGAATTCTTACTATTTGCAATAGAATGAATGTAACTGGAGAACATTATGCTGATTTTCCATTTAAATGAATGTGCTTTTTATTTGGGGGATTGCTATTTAAAATAAGTTGAATATGTCTAATTTACCTTTTATTACTGGTACCTCACACAGATACCAGATGCTCAAATAAAGTTGTGATATATATTTGGAGCTTCAGGAGGTTTTAAAAAATGAAATAAATGTTTTATAATTTTGATGACTTTCTAAGTATGCTCTTTTTTTTAGTTTCAGTTTTGTAAACTGTATTATAAATTACATTTTGTAATTAAATTTGGATTTTGTAAATTATATGGAAGTATAATATGACTTTCTTTTGTGAGTTATAAACATAAGGAATTCTGTGTTGGTTACTGTATCTCTTTTTCTAGGGAACAAAAAAGGAAGAGATTGAAGGTGAAGTGGAAGTGACTGGTTTAATTCAGCCTGCAGAAGTGTTTGCTCCCAAAAGCCTGGTGCTGGTATCCAGATTGTATTATCCAGAAATTTTTAGGGTAAATAACTCCTCATTGTCATTGTTGACATATATTATTGTATAAATATGTTTTGAGTGAACCATGGTAACAAGTTCTTAGTATTTAAAACATCTTTATATCTAAAATAAATTGATTTGGGAATATATCAATAAAATTACTGTTAACAGCAGACATATTTTCATATTGGATGAAATAAATACCTGAGTAAGTTAATGTAACTATTTAAATTTTAAGAATGTAGTGCTTTTTTTCCAAAACATTTTTTCTGACTCCAAAATGTATGTATCTTAAGAAATCATTTGATTGCCTGTAGCATATTTAAAATACATTAGTGATATAACTGCTTTGTGTATTTTTTTAAAAATATATTTTATTGATTTTTCAGAGAGGGATAGAGAGCTAGAAACGTCGATGAGAGAGAAACATTGACCAGCTGCCTCTTGCACACCCCCCACCGGGGATGTGCCCACAACCAATGTACATGCCCCTGACTGGAATCGAACCTAGAACCTTTCAGTCCGCAGACCGACGCTCTACCACTGAGCCAAACCGGTTTGGGCTGCTTTGTGTATTTTTATTCACTTTCTTTTGTTCAGTCTGGGTTGAAATAAAGAAGATGGGTATTTGTATTTTCAAATAGTTCTGATCCTACCCCTGCCAACATAACTTTAGAATATTTTTTACTTTTAGATGTTTTGTTTCTAGACACTAAGAATTTTCAAATATAAGAACAAATTTTAATTAAAAAAATATATTTTATTGATATTTTACAGAGAGGAAGGGAGAGAGAGAGAGAGAGAGCCAGAAATGTCAATGAGAGAGAAACATGGACCAGCTGCCTCTTGCATACCTCTATGGGGGATGTGCTTGCAACTAAGGTACATGCCCTTGAGCAGAGTCGAACCCGGGACCCCTCAGTCCGCAGACCAATGCTCTACCACTGAGCCAAACTGGTTTCGGCCAAATTTTAATTTTGATATAAATATATATAGGACTTGAAAAAAGAGGGCTTTTTTTTTCTTATTTCAGTTGCTACCTTTAGTTTTAGTAATGTTACGATGGTCCAAAATTATAGTTCTTTGGAAATATAAATTATACCTAAAAAGTTCCCAAGGCTTTGGGAAATTAATCATAATTTCTGGCACACTTTTCCATATTATTGAGGTTATTTGTATTTAAAAAAATTAATTTGGTGTCAATTTTTCAGTGACAGTGACATTCCTAACAAATGAAAATCTTTTGGAGTTACAAAATGTAATAAGCTGAAAGATTCATAAAGATTGCATTTTGTCTTCCTTTTTATCACCTACTTTCTTCTGAGTTTAAAATATTAATCATATCTTGTTCCTATTTTTTCCTTTTGTAATAATTTATATGTTAAATTTTTATGTAGAATTTATAAGAATCACAAAAGATAAAATTTCTAAATGTTTATCTTGAAATTTGGTGTTTTGCAAAGTAAGCTGATAAAAAAACAAAACAAAACTCCCACACACAATAACAAAAGTTTTAAGACCCACAAATTTGCTAGAGTGGTTATCTCAGCAGAAACACCTGTTTTACAAATTATAGATTTCTGCTTTTTATAAACTCCTCTCAAAAGCTCATTTAGAGCTTCTGATCTGGAGGAAAACTTAATAAACTTAATAACATTTGCTGCTTAAAATTTATTTCATGGTCACTGTCCAATGTACTCTGCTAGGTTCAAAGAGAAATTTTCCTAGGGGCAGATGTCACAACAATTTATTTTTAGTGCCTATTCTTTTCATGAACTAACTACATGCATCTCCCTTTGCAGGCTTGCCTGGGTTTGATCTACACTGTATATGTGGACAGTCTGAATGTCTCTTTGGAAAGTCTTATTGCAAACCTGTGTGCGTGCCTTGTCCCAGCGGCTGGAGGGTCTCAGGTAAATTGAATAAAAAAAGTAGTGATGAGGTCCTGTTTCTCTTATCCTCTCTCCCAGTTAATTTAATTTGTGAAGAAAAGGGGGAAAGAAGAATTCTTTAAATGTTTTCATTTTAAAGAGGATTTTAGTTTAGTTAAGTGTTGTCCCTGTGGTCTGCTTTCTAGAGACCCAAGATTCCATTCTTTTCTCAGGTCATGAGGTTAATTTTAACACAGGGGTCACCTTTCACACAGCATAATTAGAAGTCATATTTTGTGTAACTTGAACTCCAGTTTACATTTTCTTGGGAATATACTTTTTAAAGTGGAACTTTTAAAATGTGTTCTTTACACCTTTTTTATTCCTCTATATTGTTATACCTCATTTACTTAACTTAAATCAGGAAATTTTTGAGTGAAAAAATTAGATAACATTAAGAAAATTCTCAAAACAGTTTTTTGTAATTTTACAATTATTTCTGAATAGATTCATTAATTTATTTCCCTGGATAACAATAATTACATGTGGTCCTAAAGCTATTTTGTGTGTTGTGTGCAATCTTTAATAGAATAGCATACATTTAAATTTGAAAGGGTTTATTTTTCTTATTTCAGTTTGCTATCTTTAATAATAACAATATTGACCTTGGTTCACATTCATAGATCTTTGGAAAGTATAATATATATCTGAAGTTTTTCTCAGGATTTTGCTATAGATTGAGCCTCACATGAGAAACTTAAGCTCTTTTACTGACATAAAACTTTCTCAAAGTGGTCATGTGATTTTCATCTTCTGTATGTCTTAAGATTATCATATCTGTATCAGAAATAGAAAAATAAGAACCTCAGCTCTGTGATTTAATGTTTCTAAGGCACCATACTTTATTTTAAAAACTCTTCTTAAGAGTCTTTCTTAAAGACTCTTCTTAAGAATTGATTAGTTGATCACTTATTTTGCTTATTCTTATGTAAATTACATGGTTTAACTTCAGTCTGACCAAGATTATTTACGAAGAAATAACCATTTTTTTTTATTGTCTTTTGCCTTTTTAACTGTCTTCTGTGTATCCCAGTGTCTTTGTTATTTTAAATTTTTATCCCACGTTTTGCCTTCCTTACTCTTCCAGCTCTGCTCCAAGGGTAGAATTTGAATTGTGAGTTTGGTCACAATTGGACCTACGCTTTAAAGCAGTGTAATTGTTCTATGGGTCTTTATTTTAATGGTATTTTTATTGAGTTTATTTTGAGTTTAAAAATGTTTATTATGGCTGTAGAAATTTTAAAATTACATATGTGGTTTATATACTATTTATCTTATTTTTCCCAGTTTTATTGAGATATAATTGGCATACAAATGTTGACTTTAATATTTTGTTATTTTTCAGGTAAGTATGATTGTCAGTTATTTTGTATTTCATCGATACTAAATTTTCAATTTTCAACTACTGAATTTTCTTGTACCATATTCACTTGGGCACAAAGTAACTGGACTGTTTTGGATTATGTTATCACTCTGTTAATTGGATCTTAATATGCTCATCATTGGTTTGAAATCTGAACAAAGGGATTTTTTTGTTGTTGTTTTTTACCTTAGGAAAAAAGAAAATGTCTGAAAATAAATCATTTATGTGTTTGTGTGTTTTCCTGTTCTGCAGAAGCTGTTTTCCTTGGGAGCAGGAGATAGACAGCTGATCCAGACCCCTTTGCATGATAGTCTTCCTGTCACAGGCACTAGTGTGGCTCTCCTGTTCCAGCAGTTGGGTATGCTCTCTGATTTTCAAACTCCTCTTGTGGAAGCCTACAAAAAAAATTTTTTTTAATTTTAAGCTCACATGACCTGACATGAATCAAGAAAATAAAAAGCAAGCCATTAAGTACCAGATATGTAAAAATATATAATTATATAGGTAATATTCTTTTTTTAAAAAAGAAAACACACAAAACACTTTAACTCAGGTCCATTTTGCTCTGGAGTTTATTAGACTTTTCAAAAGTAGACATTTTCTTTATACTTTAAAAGACGAAAAGATAGTGTATTTTGTTTTTCCTTAGATGAATTAGTTTTGTAGAATCTTGTCCGATGAAACTAAAAATCTTGTCATCCTTATCCCACCAATGGCTAGATAGAGAATTGGGGGGAGGCACTAGAAGTGCTCTCTGTACATTGGACAGCTCTGTGCTTCATTTAAGGAGTAATGTAATTTAACAGTAAGCATGTCAGAGATTCCCATTTGTTTTACCACTTAATTGCCCTTTATATATGACTGCACATGAGTGTCCCACTTTCTTTGATTCAGTCTTTGTTATTGTTCTCCATCTGTGTTTGTCTTTTTCCAGTTATAACCTTTCCTTCCCTGGATTTCATACTCAACTTCTCCACTGAATTCTTAGTTCCTTACACAAATTTTGCTCCTTTTTCAGCTCTGTACCTTATCACTTCTTTTTTTACTAGTGACTCCATCCTTATTCTTCTGCAGCTATTTCAATCAATCAAATATAGAAAGCCTTAGAAAAAAATTAAACATAAGTAGAGTTTTCTAGAATTCTAATAAAGATGGCTGGAGATACCAACCCCAAAGCATGGCTCTTCCCCTTTACATCTGCCTCCTCTCAATAGTTCAAACTCTTAACTCTTTTCTTTTCTTTCCCCCTGAAAGTAGTAATCTTTGAATTACTACAGAGTGTGTTGGAAGTTGGAATCTGTTTTATTAAATAGAATCAAAGGTGTATTTTCCTATTTTGCTGATCCATTATAAAGACTTTAATGGTAGAATTTAGTAATAATAGTCTCCAGGAACATTTAAGAACTTTGAAGGAGACAAGCTACACAGATAAAATGGTAATTATTAAATACAGCACCCAATATTTAAGGAAAAATACTTTTATAAAGATTTTTTTTATTGCTTTATCAATCATTTCCTTTTCATGCATTGATTCGTTAGGATTAAGCAAAACCAATTCCTAATTTTTAGAAAAATTAGAATTCTACCGTGTTTCCCCGAAAATAAGACATCCTCTGAAAATAAGACCTACTTACAGGTTTCCTTCTGAGTGAAATGTAAGGCATCCCCCCGAAAATAAGGCCCCCTCTAGGCTAAACATGAGAGATTTGGTCCACTGATTCTGAAAGAAATGGAGTCACAAGAAATTCACCACGCCGGGACCGGTTTGGCTCAGTGGATAGAGCATTGGCCTGTGGACTGAAAGGTCCTGGGTTCGATTCCGGTCAAGGGCATGTACCTTGGTTGCGGGCACATCCCCAGTGGGGGGTGTGCAAGAGGCAGTTGGTCAATGTTTCTCTCTCATCGACGTTTCTAACTCTCTGTCCCTCTCAATTCCTCTCTGTGTAAAATCCATAAAATATATTAAAAAAAAAAAAGAAAGAAAAAAGAAAAAAAGAAATTCACCAGGAAATTCAGGAATTGGATTGTTATGATGATGTTCCTGAAGATGATGACATGATTGTCATTGAATAAATGAGTAAATTCTTGATACTGTAGGATTCACAGTTTGTCTGGTTTGTGTTGACAACTACTGTACTATCATACCGTATACAGGTAATAAATTTCCTTTATTTTCATTTAACAATAAATGTGTACTGTATTCTTCTTCATGGAAAAATAAGACATCCCCTGAAAATAAGACCTAGTGCATCTTTGGGAGCAAAAATTAATATAATCTTTAATTATCCTTTGATATGGGTAGAGTGAGATAGTAAGCCAATGCCAACAGTAAGTTTGCTTGTTTTATAATTCAAATATAGCTGGAAAAAGAAGGGCAAAGTTTTTCTTGAAGTAGGAGAGTTTATAACATATTCACTAATTTGTGCATTTGATTTCTATGGTTTTCTATATTTGTGTTTTATCTGCAAAAAAAAATACTTTTCAAAACTTGTAAAACTATATAACTCTTTATATATATAATTTTTTTAAGTGCAATGCTTGAACAAATTAGAGGTTTTATTCTTTTAAATTAACAAAATGTCTAGAGATAGGCAGTAAAGGGTTGACATATTGATTTCCAGGTATTTCCAGGGATTGTATAGAAATTCTTCTCTATATTTTCCCCTACGTATTAATATGGAATTTTCCCTTACTAGACTATGAGCTTCAAGAACTGCCTTTATGATAAGAGAATAATCAAAGAATAATTAGAACTTATTTGTGTCCCATATGTCTGGCATAGTGCTTTGGGTACAGAAGGCATCAGTGTTTGTTGAATAAATGAATGAATGTGCTAGCCATGAAGAGAATGGCAATTTTCATTCATTAGGAGATATTCTGTGAATGGATGAAGTGTGCCAAAACACATGATGATTAGTCATTTGAAGATCAAATTTCATTCTTTTACTCTTAAGTATTTTGAGCTTAATTATCTTTTGCTTACATATTCAAAAGTTAATTTTTCAGGGAAAGACTGAGGAAAAGATAAGGCAGATAAGGGGGAAGAAAGCTGCCTCTGAACCAGTGCTGGATGCAGAGTTGTAGTTTCTAGAGTATGTGGCACTGATTATTGTGTCTAAAGGCATGTTCTTATCACCAGTCATTTCAGCTGGACTGTTGTTGAAAGCCAATGTTAGACCATTATCAGAGTTCATTATCTGGGTTGAGAGTGGGTAGTGGGAGTGGATTTTACAAAGCACTGACAGGAAACAGATAGGACTATAGGATTATTTTGTAGCCTTGACTAGTTTTCCTGTGAAATGTCTCATTGTATGATAACATTTCCTTGCTTCTTCTCTCTAAGGATTGTTATGATAATAAATTTATTTTCTACATTTTGAGAGCTCTCTGGGTTTGCCTGAAGTCTTCACAGGACTTCCACCATCACGCACCTCATTCATTCCCCAGGATTTCCTGTTACTTTCATTTCTTACTTGCCATCTTTTTTTGTTTGTTTCTTGTTGCAGCTCATGTGAACTATTTTTATTTACCTGAAGATTTGTGCAATAAGTGTAGAAAGCTAGAGTTTTTATTATGTTAATAAGATTGTATTCATAGGAGTTGGCTTTTATAGCCCCTCCGATTTTTTAATTGAATCCATAGCTGTTTAACTCAGGTGTCTCTCCTTGCCCCAAATAATTTTGTGAAATTCTCATAATATCTGTTGTCATACCTATTTATAAAATTTGGATTTTAACTGGAAACACACTAGTTTTAGAATACTTATTCCAGTGTTTACAGTAGATTTTAATCTGACTGATCAGAACAGGCACAGACTAGGAATCTAGGCCATTTAGTGTTGGAATAATCTGATGTGATTATCCTAGACCTAGAAAACCAAATATACCCATGTACAATTGCCCAATTCAATTACATTTCTTAACTATTTCTTACTTAGAAGATTTCCATTTCTAACATTTGGAAATAATATTGTGAATTTGTAACAAATATTCAAATTGCCTCTCAGTGATAGTTACAAAACTAAACTATAAAATATATAAAGCTTGAATTTGTGAAGATAGGGATCTTGCTTTTCTTTATAGCTGTTATCTGGTGCATGGAACATAGTAGGTACTCAACAAATATTGATCGAATGACTGATAAATCTCCCTTTTTGTACCTTGTGTCAAGCCATGACCATTATTATATTCTCTCCATTATGGCTTGATCAGAAAGAACTATAATAAATTGTTTAAGGCTTCTAAAATATATCCTGTCTTGATACAGTGCCCTTTATTTCCTCAGTTTTCCCATTTGAAAGCTGAGACATAATGTTCTATTATTATTCAGAAAAGGGAGGATTCTGGAAAAAAGCTCTTGGTATTGTTTCTTTAAAATGGGAAACAAATGCATTTGTTAATGTTTATGTTATGAATTTTAGAACTTTAACCCTAAAGAAAAGTTAAAATCAGGAAGTAATTTTTCAGAATGTTTTACTATTTGAGTAATCAACAGGATGTGTTTGTACCATTGTACTGAAATCAGTAGTAATTATCACTGGAATGTTTGTTTTTCATATTATCTTCTCTGCTGTTATTGTGCAGCTTTGGATGGATTCTGGCTAGTGAAGACTAACAATTCAAGGTTATATAGAAAACATTTCTACTTGTAGATGAAAGAAATTAGATTTATGAATAACTATGTAGCTATGAATACAGCAACAAGCATTGCTAGTAAGAAATAAAACATTAATGTAATTTCTTAAAATATTTAAGGTATGGTTATGGTATGAGTAAATTAGGTATGGGAAAATTATTTTGTATTACACCATATAGCCTTTCTGGATAACAAAAACCTTACCCTTTAAGCACTAGAATAGCTACATAGTTATTCATAAATTTAATTTCTTAATAAGTTTAGTGTATTGTTTCCCCCCTTGATATTGTAAATTTTTTTAATGATACAGGTAGGATAGAGTTATTTACAAATGCATGTTTTTTTTCTTCACTTTATTGCTAAAAAATGCTACCCATCCTCTGAGCCTTCAGTTAGTCATAATCCTTTTGTTGATGAAGGGTCTTGTTGAAGGCTGCTTGCTGATTGATCAGTGTGGCGATTGCTGAAGGTTGAAGTGGTTATTGTGATTTCTTAAAATAATACAACAGTGAAGTTTGCCACATCCACAGCCCCCTCCCTTGGCAGTGAGTTCTGGGTCTCTGCGGTGTCCCAGCACAGACAGCAGGACTGACTTACAGTGTTCGATTGTCTGTTTGGTCATTTTGAACATTATGGACCCTAGCTCTTTATATGTATATATAGATGTCCATGATGCTAGAAACTGTCTGGAGGATAGATTTGAAATTAATATGGACTGGATTAGGGAAACCAGTTATGAAACTCTTAACATTAGTCCAAATGAGAAAAGTTTAAAAAATTGAGCTCATAATTTTAGATAGGTCTTATGGGATAAGTTGGAAATGAGAAAATAATATGGCAAGCCTCGCCAGTTTGGCTCAGGGGATAGAGCATTGACCCAAGGACTGAAGGGTCCTGGGTTAGATTCCAGTCAAGGGCATGTATCTTGGTTGCAGGCTTCTCCCCGGGCCAGACTCTGGTTGGGGCATGTGCAGGAAGCAACCAATCAATGTGTTTCTCTCACATCGATATTTCTCTCTGTCTTCCACTCTCTCTAAAAACTCAATGGAAAAATATTCTTGGGTGAGGATTTAAAAAGAAAAGAGTAGAGCAAATAAAAATGGGCCAAGAGGAAATCTGCATGTGTCACATTGGTCAAGGGAAATACAGAAAGTATTTTACCTTGAGAAAACTAATGGGGTCTCTTGATTTAGTGTGTCCATATAATTAAGGTTGAACAGATATAAAAAAAGATGAGTCAGCCAGGACCGGTTTGGCTCAGTGGATAGAGCGTCGGCCTGCGGACTGAGGGGTCCCGGGTTCGATTCCGGTCAAGGGCATGTGCCTTGGTTGCAGGCACGTCCCCAGTGGGGGGTGTGCAAGAGGCAGCTGATCGATGTTTCTAACTCTCTATCTCTCTCTCTTCCTCTCTGAAAAATCAATAAAATATATTTAAAAAAAAGATGATTCATAACAACAGAGAAATTAAGAAATTATATACCTACTTAACTTGAACTTGATAAATATGCATGCTGTATTTTCTAGAGTTGCCACTAAAAATATAATAAAGGAACCAGCTTATGGATTCCATACTGTTAAAGGGATAAAAGAAGATCAAGGATAAATAGAAATTATAAAAGAAAGGGGGGTGGGGAGAGGTACAACAAGTAAATATATAAAGTAAGGCACTATTAATATATATTGTCAGACTGGACTTTTAAAACATTTCTACTACATACTATTTACAAGGAGTAGAAGATTAAAATAAAAATAAAAAAGAAGTAAAAGATTGACATAAAATATGGAAAAAGATGTGCCAGGAAAATTTCAACAGCAAAGCTGTTGTGGTTACATTAACATTAGACAAATGCTCTTTAAAGAGGGAAAAAATTATTAGAGCGATGGCAGTGTCTAAAATAGGAATTTAAGTACAGACCTTGGAGATTTAGTTGAAAAGAAGGTAATAGCATGTTTCCAAACTATGCTCAATTAGTGTTAAACTGATTTGAAGAGTAAAGACAAAGTTTGGGAAAACAAATCCCATAAGTTGTGTGGAATTTATAGTTTAACCAAATATTTTTCCTCAGAGATTTCAAAAATACTGGCTTTTTCACTCCATGTCATTCTAAGTCTGTGTTTGTTGGCATCACATATAAAATTAAGTGCATTTGGTAAACATTTACTCTTGTGTTTTTCAGGAATTCAAAATGTCCTCAGCCTCTTCTGTGCAGTTCTCACGGAAAATAAGGTTCTCTTCCATTCCGCAAGTTTCCAGAGACTCAGTGATGCGTGCAGAGCCCTGGAATCTTTAATGTTTCCTCTTAAATATAGGTGAGCTTTTTTACTTGTTCTTTTATTATTCTCAAATTATGCATTAATTATTAATGATTAGTCAAAACATCATGGCACAATAGTTTGAACTATAAGGTTGTATTTTACAAAATCATGATTCTGATAGAAATCTAGCCTAGAAGTTGGAACATTTGCAAGCCGTCCATTACTGAGTGTTGATTAATTTAGTGAAAATTAATTTGAATAGTATTATCAGTAGCATTTACTTCTCTTTGAATGTGGTTGGTAATAAAATTAAGTTAGTGCTGTGATTTTTTTAATATTGAAGAATCATTAATTTTAGGGGTATTTTGGTATTATTGTTCTATTAAAAAAAGAATCCTTATCTTTTTTAGATCCCTACTAAAGAATTTGTATGTAAATGATAAGATATCTGGATTTGCTTCAAATAATACAGTAGGAAAGAGAACAAAAGTAGGTAGAAATATAAATGTGATTTTGTATTAGTAATTATCATATCTGGATTGGATACATGCAGCTTTTGTAAGTCTGTACAAACTAGAAAAAAAGTAGACTATTTATATTTATTTTAAAACTTAAAAAAAAAATTACCTATGTGCTTTTCTTAACCCTTAGATATGTCTAGACCTTGCTTTTTGTATGTTAGCACTCTTATTGAATGCAAAGTCAAGTATAGAAAATGGAATTTGAATGATCGTTTTATGTAGACAAATTACCAGTGTTGATGGGAAGGGTTCATCAGGGAGTCAGTGTCACTCTCTGATGTTATAAATGCTTCAAAGCCAGATTAAACACCCAAAGAGACTGCTTGTGTAGGAGGCGTAAGGGATAAGGACACTATCTTGGATTCCACTTACTTAGAACTTATTATAGCTGATTGTGTCTTTCACATGAAGATTTTTTTAAGTTTGTCCTTTTCAAAATTAAGTATTAATAACCATGAAAATATTGTCGATAATTTAAAACATAGGTAATCTTGAAATTTCATAGCATAAAGATGAAAGAAAAATATTTATATTATGGAGAAAGAAATATATTTCACACATGTTTTCATTATTTCCAGTTATCCTTATATTCCCATCCTCCCGGCTCAGTTACTAGAAGTTCTAAGTTCGCCAACACCATTCATTATTGGAGTACATTCCATCTTTAAAACTGATGTCCATGAACTTGTAAGTATTTAACTTTAAATTGCCAGTTTGAGGTCAGAGGTTTATCTTATTACTTTTGAGTTTTATAACATTTCAACTTATTACTATTTTCAGCTCTATTGCATTCCCTACAGAAAAGATTGGCTGGAAGAAAAGCATAATTGAAAAACCTAAACATATTAATTTTTCTTTAGCAAATATGAGAGATTTACAAAATAAATTCACTAATGCCCTCACCTTTGGCATTTTAAGTTTATCTTTCTGTAGTCTTCATCCTGTCTATGGGAAAGGAAGATAAAGTAATCTATATAGCATTCTATTTATACTTTTGTTATGACTACTTTAATTTATTCACATTTTGAAATTAGGCCTGTATTAATGCTGAATGGTGGATAACTAAACAGCAAAAATCATTTGCAAAAAGAGTGAAGGATTTTAGTGGAATGCAGGTTCAGTATGAGCCCCACCAAATTATTCTATTTCTTAACTTGGCCAGAGTTGCTCAGTTGGTTGGAGCATTGTCCCATATACCAAAAGATGGCTGGTTCAATTGTAGGTCAGGGTACATAGGGGAGGCAGAAGATATATAATTTCTCACATTGATGTTTCTCTCTCTCTCTCTCTCTGACCCACTCCTTCTCTCTAAAACCAATAAAAAGTGTATCATTGGGTAAGAAGAAAGATTATTCTTCTTTTCATGCCACAGAGATAGAAAGAAATAACAAATAAGAAAAGTAATACTCCACATCAATGATTTTTAACCAGTGTGCCATAACAATTTTTAAAACATACAACATGTGAATATTTGATCAGGAACACTGACTTCTTTTCCCATATATCTATGTATATAAAAAGCCAGTGACCAACCAGAACGAATGGTCGCTATGACGCTGACTGTGGCCAGTGAACTGGTCCAAACTTGGGGTGGGACCAGCCAGCCAACTTCCTACAGCACCTTCCCCGAGCCAGCCTTACCCCAGATGGGCCCCCACCACCTCAATTGGCCTGCAACTCCTCCCCATGGCTGGCCCTGCCTCCAACCTACAGCCCCTCCCTTCAGCTGACCCACGGCCCCAACCCCCAGTCAGCTCCACCCCTGATTTGCCCTCCAACTCCAATCAGGGGCAGTGCAGGCTGGCCAACACCCATGGCACCTTCCCCATGCTGATGGCCCCTAATTGATCCCCTCCACTCCAATTGAGGGCAGAGCCCATTGGCCAATAGCCTGTGTCCCCTCCCCAAAGCTGGCCCAGCCCTGATTGGGCCCCAATCAGGGCAGGCCAGCCAGCCAACCTCCTGCTATCTTCTCCTCCTTACAGGCCAGGCCCCAATTCATCCTGATTGGGGCTAGCCGGCCAGACCCCACCCATGCACGAATTCATGCACTGGGCTTCTAGTTTTCAAATAAAAAAATGACAACAGCCAACACAATAATAGCCATCCAGTGTGAATTAATCAAAATTATATCTATTTTTTTGTCAGATTGCTAAAAAATATGTTTTGGTATGCCACAGAATCTTAGTAATTATTTTATGTGTACCATGAGATGAAAAAGGTTGAAAATCACTGCTCTACATATCTAAGCTAATTCTGGAATAACATATTTAGTTCTCTCTAATGCATAGAGCATTTGGTGGTTAGTGCGCATCATAGGGACCAGTCATTCAGCAATTCGGTCCATTTGCATATCACTCTTTTATTATGTAAGATTACAACTGTAATCAAGTTGTAGGTGTCATTTAAACTGACAAAAGATTATTCAACATTGTAATTATAAATAGGACCCTCATTCATATATTAATCATTCTGCCTAACTGTAGATGTTGGTATCTATCTAGTTCCTTTTTAATTTTGATATCATTGTATAAAATATATATAAATCAATAAACATTCAGTAAAGCCTAGTTAGTACTAATTACATTAATAAAAGAGAAATATACAAATTGACTGTCACTTTGCGGCACCCACCAGCCAATTAGAAATGAATATACAAATTAATCTGACAAAAATGCAGGTGGCCCGGCCTCCCAGCCATTCCAGGCCTCTAAGCAGCACATATGCAGGCATGAAGTGGCCAGGCAGGGCGGAGTAGGATGCCTGCTATGAGGGGGAAGGCAGAGAGGCAGAGGAAGCTAGTGGAGTGGCACTTCAATTGGAGCAAAAACTGAAGGTTCCAGCTGGAGTGAAGATTGAGGGCTCCAGCTGAAGCGAAGACAGAAGGCAGTGGCCAGAGCAAAGGCCTGGGTCCTGGGTTCTAGAGGGAAACCAGTACCAGCAGCCAGGGGAAGGAAGGCCTATTGCACAAATCTTCGTGCAATAGTCCTCTAGTTAGAAATATGTCCATCTAGTTTATAGGTAATTTTTTTCAGTAATTTTTTTTTCTCTGGTGGTAGAACAAACCAAGTATTGCCTAAAGTAAATTTTTAAATTTTTTGATGAATACATTAGAATGAATTTTAATCCTGTAATCAATGAATTTTAATCCTATAAATAATAACTTCAGCAATCTTGGCAAGTTTCTCTTACATTTGTATTTAAGTTGTTTGTAAATAAACTTGTAAAATGCTAAAAGTTATTTTCTTTCTTGAGCACCTAAACAGTACCATTTTGATATAATAATTGTTTTGATTGTTAACTCATGTAATGATTACTGTGTTATTTAGGTTATGGCTACACTGCTATAATAAAGCATCCAAAATGCAATGGCCTAGACAAATGGAATTTTATTTAACACTCATGCAGCGATCCGTAAAGGTGTTCCTTATACCAGCCCAGTTTGCTCCATGATATCATTGAAAGTCCAAACTTATTTCCTGCTTATCCCTCCACCAGGATCCTCTCATGTATTGTCATCATCTGAGCATTCAGGGTTGGGTTGCTGCTAGTTCATAGCTTCAGCTATGGAAAGAGGAAAGAGAGCCTCAGGTCGCCTCTATTTTGAGTACTTGAAAGTTTACACATTGATTTTCACTTTTCATTGGCAGAGATTTAGTCACTTACATACCTAATGTCAAAGGAAGCTGGAAAATATGGTAATTCCCCCTTATCCATAAGAGATACATTAAAAGACCCACAATGGATGCCTGAAGCTAGAGGTAGTCCTGAACTTTATATATACTCTCTTTTCTTATACATACATAGATCTCCACTTAAAGGAAGCACTTTACAGCTTCTCTTTGGCATATCCAAATTGCCAGTATAACTACACTTGCACTTTGGGATCATTGTTAGGTAAAATAAGGCTATGTGACAACATGCACTGCAATAATGCCACAGTCTATATCAGTGATTTTCAACCTTTTTCATCTCATGGTACATATAAACTAATTATATTAAAATTCTGCAGAACACCAAAAAATATATTTTTTGACGATCTGACAAAAAAAATAGATATAATTTTGATTCATTCACACCAGATGGCTATTGTGTTGACTGTCACCATTTTTTTTTTTTTTTTTTTTACAATATAAGGGAAATTAGTTCAGTGCCCCTGACTAAATAGTCAGGTATTGCATGTTTTAAAAATTCTTGTGGCATAACCAAAGGACTTGTATGCACGCATATAAGCATAAGCGATGAACGCAGACATCGGGGTGAGGGTGAGGACAGGACTGGGGGGGATGAGGGGACAATGGGGGGGATAAGGACACATTTGTAATACTTTCATCAATAAAAAAAAATAATAATAAAAATAAAAATAAAAAAATTCTTGTGGCATACCAGTGTGCCTCTTTCGGCACACCAATTGAAAATCGCTGATCATAGTGGGTGGATAACATAATGCATTGTGGGTACTGCTACACAAAGGGATGATTCACGTCCCAGGCAGGCCAGTGGGCTGGCCCAAGATTTCAATACACTGTTCATAATGGCATTGCATTTAAAACTGATGAATTGTTTATTTCTGGAATTTTCCTTTTGATATTTTCAGACCATTTGACTGAATGTAGCTGAGACCTCAGAAAGCATAATCATAGATAAGGGGGAACTACTTTAGACAGAAGCTCAGAAGCCAATAGAATAGCGTTCTATTACTATGGACAATCAACAGGCTCTTCCAGCCCTGGCCAGTGTTGCTCAGTGAAGTGTCAGCCTGCACACTAAAGAGTCTCGGGTTCAATTCCTGGTTAAGGGCAGGTACCTGGATTGCCAGTCAATCCTAGACCCAATGTGGGAGGCATAATTGATGTGTCTCCCTAACATCTATGATTCTTTCTCTCTCTCTCTCTCTCTCTCTCTCTCTCTCTCTCTCTCTCTCTCTCTCTCTCTCTGTTTCCCTCTCTCTCTCCCCTTCTGTTTCTCTCCCTCCTTCCCTCCTTTCTACTCTTTCTAAAAATCAATATATTAAATATCCTCAAGTGAGGATTTACCAAAAAAAGAAGAAGCTCTTCCATACCCGGTGGTTCTTATTTTGAATTAGTGAAGGTCAAATTAATTTGCTCCTCAACAAATATATTGTATTAATTATATTAATTTTTATCTCTTTCAGTTAGATGTAATCATAGCAGATTTGGATGGAGGAACTATTAAAATTCCTGAATGTATTCACCTCTCCTCCCTCCCGGAACCACTTCTACATCAGACTCAAGCAGCTCTTTCTTTGGTATGCCATTTTTTAAATAGCAATTTTCTCTTGATTTAAATCTAAACTAAGATAATTATAATTAAATATCATGAGCAGTGTAATTACTTTTTTAAAAGGTCTTCAAACATGAATATAGTCTCGTGGAGTATTTAGGAGTTTTTACTAAATATTATTTAAAGAATATACTTTGAATCCTAACTGAATATTTGTTGTACATTCATTTTTTTCACTCATCTTATTTACTTAGTACTGAATAATGTCATAGGTATTGGAAACACACTTGTGAAAACAAAACTAGACTCTGCCTTGAAGTAATTCTAAACCCCCATTAGAAGTCAGCACTTTTTCCTTCTCCTTCAACCTCCTATTGACATCTCATTCCTCCATGGTAGGTGTGCTATTTGCAAAACAGTAGGATGTTGTTTTCAAATTACTGCAGGAAGATGTTACTTATAGACAGATTAAATGTCCAGCATTCTGTGTAGTGAAGTTTTAAGAAATCAGTGGCCTGTATGTTTCTCATTGGGATGAATTTAATTTTTTGTAGTTATTTTACCTTATTTGATTTGTAAAAGCACAGAATTTTATTTTACTGACAACATTTTTAGGTGCCCATTGATCCATCATCAGAAAATTCAAACTTAGAAATTCTGCATTTTAAGTCATTACTAGAACTGAAGCCTTCATATTCTCCTCAATATTTCCGTTAATTAATTCTTAATTATATTAAGAAACATAAAAATAAATGCTTGTTTAAAATTTTCCACTATATAGAGAAATAGCTCTGCACTAGACCACTCCCTTCCCAGAGGTAACTACTATTTTATAGCTTAGTGTATATTCTTTCAGAACTTTGCATTTTCATTTATATGTACATCAATGCGTATACATATATAGACTTACATATGTAAATTTTTCTGGAACAGGGTTTTTCATTAAATATTTTCTCTTGGAGATCATTTCACAATAATATATACAGAACTGCCTCAGCTAACTGCATTGTAGTTCATGAAAAAAAAAATATTGTAATTCATATACTGACACTTTTTCATATAATGCTCCAAGTAGATTAAATAATAGGTTTTATTGATATTAAGATCTTCTGTATAACAAAACTTCTTTGCTTTAGATTCTACACCCAGATTTGGAAGTGGCAGATCATGCTTTCCCCCCTCCACGAACAGCTTTATCCCACTCAAAAATGCTGGTAAGAAGTTTAAGATTTAAGTTTTATGCTTTTAAAGAGAACTGTACTTTTATTTGTACAATTGTTAAAGAAGCTGAATTACATGTACAACCTAGTAAAAATGAGTTACGTGGACAGCCTAGTAAACAGAGCACCAAATTAGAAATCAAGAGAATTGCTACTGACTCACCTCATGACCTGCTCAAGGAGGAATCACAGGGCAGCACACTGACCAGTGGGGAGAAGGGCTAAAGCTGTTGTCCTGAGGAAGCATAGTAAGTAGCGGACAAAAAATCAGAACCTAGGCTACAGCAGCAAATAAAAAGGCCAGGCAAGGATAAAAAAAGTAGGGAGAGGGAAGCTTACAAAAAATGGAAACAGTATTGTTAATAATAGAAGAGAATCAAGTTTGAGGAGTAGGTGAAAATTGAAAGTCCCAACAGAAGTTATAATAGGGATCCCTTTTTAATTTTGCTCAGTGCATTTCTTATAGATGAACTTTGTGGCTAATCAGGATCTTCATAGAGCTGGACACCTTTGACAAGTTCATTAAGCATTCTTGACTATTTCCATTAATTAAAGAAGGGTTGACTAAATAAATTTCTAAGTGTTCTCCCTATTCTAAAACTATGATTTATATAAAAGCCTGAATTATTAAAACAGAGTTGAAGTCAGACCTTATTAATATGAGAATACATTTTTATAAGTTGGATAAATTTTGGGAGAATTTTATAAGCTTTAAAAAATCTTCGATTTTTTTCCTTTGTATTTGTGATATTCTTTTGATGGCTATAAAAAGCAAATGACTTGGGAAATATGTCCTTCTTGAGCATGGTGAAAGGGGAGACTGTGACTTGTGTTTTTTCTGATAGGAAAATTGAATGTGCTGGAAGCAAGTTTTGTTTGGTTCAGTTTTAAAAAGAACTATTGAACAGCCTAGGCTGCCAACAGTGGAACAGACTAGATGCCGATCACTCAGGATTGCCTCAAATGATGTGTAGGAAGCACAGACGTACAAATTGATTTAATAATCCCTTAACTTTTTTACAACTGTTTGATTTTGTGATAATTCATTTTATTTTTTAAGAAATTCAATTACCTAACACGTTTCTTCTTATATTTGCAGGATAAAGAAGTACGTGCAGTTTTTCTTAGATTATTTGCACAACTTTTCCAAGGATATAGATCATGCCTACAGCTCATAAGAATTCATGCAGAACCAGTGATACATTTTCACAAGGTAAGGTACAGAACTATATAGAATTGGAGTCAAAATGTAGACTCCAATTAAATAAAACAACTTGGTTGTCCTTTTCTGGTTATGTATTTTCCCCTTAATTTATCAAATGGGGTTATTTAAAATATTTGCTTTGTGTGGTTATATGATGATTTTTCCCCCTTTTTTTATTGAATTTATTGGGGTGATATTTCTTGGATGAGGTACACTTTTTATCAAATGAATGCATTATTTACAGACAAAATTAGGCTAGTACAAAGTAGAATCTATTCAGATAACAATTCTACAACACATCTGTATTGATAATTTTTAATAATACTATGGAATTAATATGTTTTCATTCAAAGTATAATGTTAACTTTATTTATTTATTTTTTAAAATATATTTTATTGATTTTCCACAGAGAGGAAGGGAGAGAGATAGAGAGCTAGAAACGTCAATGAGAAAGAAACATCAGCCAGCTGCCTCCTGCACACCCCCTACCAGGGATGTGCCCGCAACCAAGGTACATGCCCTTGACCAGAATTGAATCCGGGACCCTTCAGTCCGCAGACCGACGCTCTCTCCACTGAGCCAAACCGGTTTCAGCTATAATGTTAACCTTAGAAGCTCAGTCCTGGGCCCAGCTGCCCATACTTAGGCCGCCCACACCAGAAGGAGCCACAGCTGTTCTGTCATTGTTGGAGCCATGATAGTCCCCAAGGAAGAGTGTAGTCAGCGACACCAAGTCTATAATGTTAACTTTAAATTGGTTTTCTTTTAAAATTGAGTATTAATTTTTTATTTTTCCTCCTGCTTTACAGACAGATTCATTTTTATTCTTTCCAATACCTATAATATCTCAGGTATCAAAAACCTTTTTAAGAGAAGTGTAATTTATAGTAACACATTTTTGCATGAAGACACTTATTCAAGCTTTATTTTTCTACTAGATCCCTGGTGCTTGTTGGGTCCCTTGGCCTAGCTTGCACCCTCTTGCAATTTGGAACCTCTCGGGAGATGTCAGAGAGCCAGTTTCAGCCCGATTCCCACAGGCCATGTTTAGGGACCCCATTAGTGCACAAATCCCTGCACTGGGCCTCTAGTATTTATATAAAATCTTTGGTTAATCTCTTCCCGCCCTCCCCCCAGCAGCAACCTAACCCATGGCCAATTTCACGAGGAATCAAGCTCCCTCCTCTACTGGTCAGAGCGTCTGACCCCTGGTAATCATTGTGCGTCATAGCTGCCAGGCGAATAGTCAACTGGTCAAACTGTTGATGGTCGCTTAGGTTTTTATATATATGGATAGATTTATTTTGTTTTGAGTATCCATTCATTACTGAGTGATAAATTGTTCATTTCACATTTTCTTTCTTTACAGACAGCTTTCTTGGGGCAGCGTGGTTTGATTGAAAATGATTTCCTCACTAAAGTTCTCAATGGAATGGCATTTGCAGGTTTTGTTTCAGAAAGAGGCCCTCCCTATAGATCCTGTGATCTCTTTGACGAGGTATAGTTTTTATCAAATGAATACATTATTTATAGACAAAATTAAGATGGTACAAAGTAGAGAAGTAATATTTTAAACTTTTAATCAAAATTATAACTGTTATACATTAAATATAAAATAATCCAAATATTATTACTATTATGCTCATCAGATCTTGATATTTAAAATGTGAAAATATAATTATAAAAAATAGAACTATAGGATATCTCAGACATACATAAAATCTTGAAAACTTAATTTTAAATTGTTGATTAAAATCTTTTTGAAAAAATTGACAGTAATTGTGTAAGTAGAACATTTATTTTTGAAGGTAATAACACAATTACTTTATTGGTTTCATAGAGAAAAAGTCAAAGTTTAATGAGTAGATATGTGACTTTAAGCAGTTATATATTGTCTCTCAGTGTCCTAGAGACATAATTTAGCTTAGTAGCATTCTTCCTGATATCCATAATAGCTCTCTTGGGAGATATTAAATATATAGAAGACAAGTTTAAGTCTCTATCATCAAGGAATTGGCCTTAGAAAGGGAAAGTTAGAACAGATGTGAGTTAAAATACAGATGCTATTTTGTGTTTATTGTGATTTCCCTTATTTTAATGCATCTTTCCATTTACCATTAAACTATTTTCATAGAAGTCCATTCTGGTAGATAGAATGAAAAATGTTATTCCAATTTCAGTTTCTGAAAGAGCACTGTACTTGAACCAATAAATGTAAAGTTACTTGAAGTCTGTAAAAGAAAACATTCCTAGCACCCAAGCTAGTGGAGAATAATAATAGTGATCATATTTTGGTGTTGCTGATTTTATTTTATGTAAAGAAGGTAGAACTCAAGGTTTTAAAGATCCTTAGTTCAGAAAAGGATCTTTTATTTTCCTTATATAGAGATAATTAAGTATTCACAGGTGAGATTGAAAGAAGAGGCACATGTTTTAATTCTGAGTATGGAGAATTGCATTAAATGCTTTAATTAATAGTAGAAAAAATCATATGAGGACTTAGGAGCAATTGCCCTGAGGTGGACTATTATTTCTTACAGTTCTAATACCAACATTAAATATGATTGGTCTTTGGTTATCTAATATTAACATACTAGAGGTCTGTTGCATGAAATTTGTGGGGGGGGGGGAGTCCCTCACCCTGACCTGCCCCCTTTCCAGTCCGGGACTCCTCTGTAGGATTGGGCCTAAACCAGCAGTCGGACATCCCTCTTGCAATCCTGGACTGCTGGCTCCTAACCACTCACCTGTCTGCCTGATCACCCCTAACTGACTGACCTGATCACCCCTAACCGTCTCTACCTCGGCCCCCACCACTGTGGCTTTGTCCAGAAGGAGGACCAGACAACTGGAAGATGTCTGGTTGACCCAGTCTAATTAACATATTACCCTTTTATTAGTATAGATATCAGGCTTTAGTATATTAGTATAGATCCTAAGTAATTGAGACATAATGTTTTTGGGGTTAAATTATATGCTGTTCATACTCTTTTCTAGCTCATTTTATTAGTCTCTGAAGCATTTTGAATAGTAATATTTGTTTATATATCCCCTTTCTTTTCTATCCAAATTCTCCCTTCTGGCAGTTTTGTCACAACTAATAATTCATATAAATTACTTTAAAAAAAAACTTGCTTGCTACAGCCTCTGACTATTTTTGTATGTCCTTCCCTTGCCTGGAGTGCTCTCCCTCTATCTTTCAGTCTGACTGACCAGCCATTCTTCATAACTTTGCTCTTATTTCACCACCTCCCCAGAGTACATTGGAGGTCTACTAGTCTGCATTGAGCTTTATTTTGTATCTCTAACTTCATCTGTCAGCTTATCTTTTACTAGAGGCTGGTTATACGAAGAGATTTGTGCAATAGGCCTTCCTTCCCTTGGCTGCCAGCACTGGTTTTCCTCTGGCGTCTGGGACCCAGGCATTCGCTCCAGCCAGAGTCTGCCATCTTCGTCTTCGCTGCAGACTCTGGAGTCTGCAGTCTTGTCTTTGCTGCGGCATTCCGCTTCTGTAGATCTCTTTGCTCCCAGCCTTCCCTCTCATAGCAGCGTCCTGTCTGGCCACTCCTGGACGGCTGCCATCTTTGGCCTTCTAATTTGCATACTTACTCTGATTGGCTGTGGGCATAGTAGATATATGGTCAATTTACATGTTTGTCTATTATTCGGTAAGATTATGTGCTTTTATAGACATAAGATACATATATCCTTTAGATTAGAAATAATGATAAGGCAAGGACCTTGTCCAAGATTCCTATTGTGTCTCTTAGTGTTCATCCTGTTCTAGGTTCTGCCAGCAATGATGATTTTTGGCATCTTGTTGATATTACTTGAAAACTAGTTCATATGTATCCTGTCAAGTACCTAAAAGCAATGAGACATCAGACCTAAGTAATTTCTTGTCTGTCATCTTTGGCTGCTTAGTTGGTTTACATTAGAGTGTGCTTTGTAGGAAAGTTGTGTGCTTCTGGGAAAGGGATCCTTGTTCTCATTTAGCTTGGGCAGCCTACCCCACAAAGGATTATGGATCTTATTCCCACACGCCATCAAATAGGCCCGTTAGAAGGAAAAGTGTTTGCCCTTTTTTGATAGTCTTTCTGAATCCTGGCCTAGAATAGGTGAAGTCATGGTTTTAAATGTCTGTCTATTCCAGTAAAGCTAATAGTTCCTAGAAGAAAATGTCTTATAACTTTTTTAAAAAATTCATCCCATCTACCCACTCCTCCTTATTCATTTTTTTCCTGTAAGTACTCTTCTCTCTACTCCAAGTATACACACTCTCCCAGTTCTTCCAGCTAGTTATTTAGTAGGGACATGGATTAGAGTTTATATAACTTGAGAACTGGAAGGAGCCTAAAGATCGTGTTCCTCCATCTTACGTTAGAGATGAAGAAACTGGAGCTTAGGAGTTTTTCCAAATTTCACTGTAAGCAGAGCTGGAACCAGCATCTGAATGACCTGACTTAAACATTTGGTTCGTGTTTTGTGAGTTAGGGACATGTTCTGACCACTCACACTTCTCAAAATGAGAAATGTCTAAGTGAGGCCTGGGGAATGAAAGGGTCTCTGAGATCCAGAAATGACTTTTCCAAGAGGAAATAGGGCCCTAAATCATCAGGGGAAGACCACTGAACTGTCCAATGACTGGATAGACTCCATGCATCTAGAATAGTGGTGAAGCCCAGCAAAAATCTAAAATACTATTTTAGTAATAGTATATATTTTGGAATCTTCTTGGTTTGTAATGATAAGAAATTATCACACGTTTTTTAATTCAGCATATCTTAGAATTGATGTTTTGCCATTTCATTCTTTTTTCAAGCTGGTAGCTTTTGAGGTAGAGCGAATTAAAGTTGAAGAAAATAACCCACTGAAGATGATAAAGCATGTCAGAGAACTTGCTGAGCAACTGTTCAAAAATGTAAGTAAGTATATTTATTTAGATAGTCATTAATTTTTAAGTGCTAATAAATTATTTTGTTTGAGAAACTGAAAAGCTTCATCTATCCAGTGATAATCTTCTTGTTCTAACTTCAGACCTTTGGGACTATAAGTTAACAAGATATTATGGTTGCTACTGTGTATCAAAATAGATCTTATTTTTTTTAACAATGTTCCTGTCAATTATTGCGTTATGAAAACTTCTTAGTTACAATTTTCCATTTGTCATTTGCCCTCATTGTGATTTTCATTTAGGCTTCTAACTTCTTAAGAGTATATTGGGCATTTTAAGACATAAGTATTATACCCATTGGAGACCAAAACTACCTCAGACACAACTGCCCCATGTCCCCCACTTTAGTGAGGGTCCACTGGATCAGGAAAATGATTTGAGTTGAATTGTTTTGAATAAACAGGGCATGAAAAGCTGGAAGACAGAAGATTGCCCAGTCACCAACTACAAAAACTCAAGGGTGAAAATATATAACAGAAATGCAATAAGTGTAAAAGATTGATGTTTCACACTGGTAATGTGTGAAGTAATAATTTGGATACCAAGAAAGAAGATAACCTAAAATGATAGGGTGGTTATGTGCATGTGGAAAAATGGATAATGATTACAACTCCTTCCTCTGTTTATAAAGCTTTTACAGAGTCGAATCCTTCTACTAAAAAAAAGAAAGTAAGAGGAAATTTGAAGGAAGTATTTTTCCATCTCCCCCCCCCCCCCCTAGAGAAGAAGGGAGAGGGAGAGGGATAGAAATATCAGTGATGAGAGAGAATCGTTGATCAGCTGCCTCCTGCATGCCCCACACTGGGGATCGAGCCCCCAACTCGGGACCCTTCAATCCACAGGTTGACATTCTATCCACTGAGCCAAACTAGCTAGGGTGGCAATATTTCTCAGAAGAATAGTTAAGAAGGATATGGAACCCATATCCTGGTATTGTTTAACTTAATTATTTGCATAGTTGCACGTTTTTGGATGTTGGGTCATTGTTAGTCACATCCCTTCAAAATCTGAGAACCAAGTTGTGTTTCTTTATTCAATTAATTAGGAATTTTATTTCTGAAGTTACTTTAAAGTATATCCTTTAGGCGGATACCCTAAACTCCATATATAACTGTCCAATACTGTAATAAATCTATTTCTTGATCAGTATGATGGAACTTGGAGGGGTAATCTGCCAGAAAGAAAACTTGTGTTCTGTGCTGGTCTTTGCCATTTATGATGGCTGTGTACAACTAATGTATAGCATGAACACATGGGACAGTTCTCTTGACTTATTGTAATAATAAATATTGAGTGTTTAAAGCAACGTGCCAGGAATGGGATTAAGCACTTTACATAGTATATCATCTCTAATCCTCATATAATTGTTTAAGATATAGGTGTCATTACCTCCATTTTACTGGGGATAATTGGCTCAAAATTGTAAATGCCTATTAAATAATTGAATCCAGATTTTAAATCCAGGAATTTTTATCTATCCAATTCCTAAGTTGATGTTCATTCACTTCCATTAGGCTGGCTCATCTTCAACTGGAAAAAAATGTGGTATTTCCAATGGCTGATTTTATAGTTGGTTTTTAAAGCACTTTAACGTATTTTAACATATGATCTTGGAAGTTATCCTATATCCTTTGAGATAGTGATATTTATGTTGATAAGTGAGAAAACTGAATATCAGAAAGCTTTTTTCCTTGCCCACTTGGAATGATTTATTGATATATTTTGAAAAGTAAAAATAATAATAATAATAATAACTGGGAGTCAGTATTTGATACTCTGGGACTGATTCCTTTAATACTGAATGTTTATTTCTTAGATTTTTGCAAACTTATTCCAGAACTGCAAAATTTTATAGCCAGTAAGTGACCAGAGCTGGGTTTCTGACACGCATTTGTCCTGTTAAAAGACTGTGTACACAATGCATGTTAGGGAGTATGCCAAGCCACATTAGTGAAGAAATTAAATAAAAATTTTTTGCCATTCTAGACCTTAAATTTTGTGATACATAGCTAACACTAAGCTAACACAAAAAAGAAAACGGCAGTAAAATACATATCTACTAATTATATTCTTAAAGGTGAATGCAAAGCATGAACAACCCCTGTTCTTTAACACTGTTAAGAGGTCATCACGAGGGACTGTTTGACTAGTAGGAGGTGGAATCGCCCTTCAAATGAACTTTACATTCTTGAGCCCTTATTGGACTTCTTTCCTTCCACAATCCAATTCTATTTCATTTTATTTAATTCCATTCATTCAGTATTTGTTTGTTCGGCACCTACTATTGCCAGCATTTTCTAGACATGATTTTTCTAATATCCTTGAGAGGAGGATACACGATAAGTGAGAATTTGAGACTTTCCCAATGGATTGTCATCAGACTTCCTATAACTCTTTCCAGTTTTAAGAATTTAAAGTCCTTGATGGTCCCAACATTCCTGAAGTAAATACTTGACCAAGTTAGAAAGGAGAGCATGATGGTCATGCAGGAAGTTGAAGGGAGGGAGGATGGTCTCGATGCAAGGAAAATCACCCAGATAGTTCCATTTTTGTAGTCAGTTTTCTTAAATCAAATTTCTAGAATTTCCTCTGGTAAGCAAGAGACAACCATATAATTTGACTGTTTTCTTATTATTGGGTTATAATTGGGACCTGGTGGTTTCATTCCGATGATTGTAAATATTTTATTGCACTGAGGTCTGATATGTGTATCTAGTGTCTCTCCTTTACTTCCCTTTGAAATACCTCAAAAATGCACCTTACTTTTTGAGTTTCTTCTTGCCACTCCTCTATATTCCTCGTGAGTAGGAATGGATTGTAGGATTGTGAGCAAATGTGAATAGGATAAATTGTAACTGGGTTTAGCTGCTATTTTGACTTTCTGGAGCTCTCTAAATAATTAAAAAATGTATTTGGTGACTGGTGGAAGAGGGTAATAGGAAAGTGGAATGAAGGAGAAGAAAAGGAATAACTCCAGTACAGACAAATTGGGTAAGCATTAATAAGGTTTATAAGATGAAGATTATTGGCTATATATTTTTACAGCTTTTCTTTCCTTGCCCAGTTGATAATACTGGGTCCACCCACCTTGGCTTTCAGAATCTTCAGTGTCTGAATGACAGCACATTTAGCTACTTACCACTCTATCCCTATGATTCTTTTTTTTTTTTAATATATTTTTTATTGATTTTTTACAGAGAGGAAGGGAGAGGGATAGAGAGCTAGAAACATCAATGAGGGAGAATCATCGACCAGCTGCCTCCTGCACACCCCCACCGGGAATGTGCCCGCAACCAGTGTACATGCCCTTGACTGGAATCGAACCCAGAACCTTTCAGTCCCCATGCCGACGCTCTATCCACTGAACCAAACCGGTCTTGGCTCTATCCCTATGATTCTTGACATACACTCAAAAAGGACCACTAACTGCACACAACATGAGAATTTTGAGATAGGACAAGAATTTTATAAAATCTCCATTTCACGGCATCATGTAATTAATTAGTTGGACGTGTGTTTTACTGTTTTATATAATACATTTTTTTAACTTGTTTTGCATCTGCAATAATAGTACATAAATATTAGCTAGATGGTATAATTTGACTGACAGTTTTCTTAAAAGTAAAGGGGTAAAACATTGTAATCATCTTAGTCTTAAAGAATCAAAACATAAACAACTTGTTTAGATTATTATGAGAAAATGAGGCCCCTAACCGAAAACATAAAAACCAAACTCGTTTTCCTATGCTATCTGGTTTGTTTGTGATTTTTAAGTCAGCTTTACAATGATAAATTCTCATATAGTAAAATTTGCACTTTTTAAATTTGCTGTTCTATGACAAATGAGTGAAGTACACAACTACCACCACCATAGTGAGAACAGAATATTTACCATTATTTTACTCCAAAACTTTCCCTAATGTGTCCTTATTGACATGTTCTCCCACCACCCCAAACTCTTCATAACTAATACGCTGTCTGTCTGTCGTTATATAGTTTTTTGAGTTTGATTTCTTTCACTTAGCATAATGCATTTTAGATTCACCCATGTCACTACTTAAATCTGTTGTTAATTCCTTTTTATTGTTGAATAGCATGCCATTGCATAGATGTACCAAAGTTTTATTTATATGTTGACTAATGAAGGACAGTTTTGGAAATTATGAATAAAACCACCCTAAACATTTGCATAGGTTTTTGTATGTACATAATTTTTAACTTCTCTTGGGTAAATATTTAGGAGTAGGATACTGGTAACAGAACGTTAACTCTATAAAAACTAGGAGCCCAACCAGTGTGGCACAGTGATTGAGCAGCAAACATGAACCAGGAGGTCATGGTTCAATTCCCGGACTGGGTTGGAGGCTAGATCCCCAGTGTGGGGCATACAGGAGGCAGTTGATCAATGATTCTCTCTCATCCTTGATGTTTCTATCTCTCCCTTTCCCTTCCTCTCTGAAATCAATTAAATATATATATATATATATATTTTTTTTTTTTTTTTTAAAGAACTAAGACACTTCCCTGGTGTCTATCATTTTGCATTTCCTCCAGCAATATATGAGAGTTCCATTTGCTCCATATCTTCAGCAACACTTTGAATCCTTAGTTTTTTTGTTTTTAGCCATTGAAATAGTTGTGTGGTGGTATCTTATTATGGTTTTAATTTGCATGTCAATAGGTGAGAATATAGGTCTCTTAACTAGTCACTATATGCTTTCTGAGTACTTATAAAAACAGTACTTATCTTAGTCCGGGCTGAAGTGGTGGTTTAAGTGTCAATCCTCAAACTGGAGGGTCTTGAGTTTGATTCCAGTCAGGGGCACATACCTGGGTTGCAGGTTTAATCCCCAGCTTCGTCAGGGTGCCTGTGGGAGGCAACCAATCAATGTGTCTCTCACATCGAAGTTTCTTTCCTTCTCTCTCCTTTCTCTGTCTCTTTCCCTCCCCCTCTCCTTTTTTGTCTT